TGTGCGCCGACCACCACTTGTTCCTCTCCAGCACCGATTTCCGACGTTCCTGGTGCCAAAGTGCCAAATGGCGACCTCCGTCGCCTCGTCAATCTTGGACGCAAATTGACCACATCGCTTTTAGTTACCGTTGGCGTGGCTGCATAACGGACTGCAAGTCAATTTGGAACACTTAATTGACTTCGGATCATGCGCTCGTGTGTGCTAAGTTCGTTCTGCGCTTTGGAGGCACCCAACAGCGTCGCCGGAAACGGTTTGACACAGACAAGCTCGTCGTTCCAAATATTTTCGGCGCATTTCAGTACACATTAGCCTCCAACCTGCTTTCTCTATCCTCAGATGTTGAGACACACTGGGCACAGATCCAGAGCTCCTTACGAAAGTCCGCTACCCTGGTCTGTGGCTTCACTAGACGAGCTGCTAGTCTTTGGATCTCCGCACAGTCTCTCTAATTAATGGAAAGTCGTCGAACGATTCTCACCGGAGTTGAGTACAACGCACTACGCAGAACTACAGGCGCTGAGCTCAGACAGCTCCTCAGAAAGAATCGCGAGGTTTGATGGACACAGCGCGTCGTTGAGGTGGAGTGGGCAGCCTCATCAGGAAACTCCCGTAAACTCTTCCAATTTATTTGCTCCACGGGAGGCAGAAGACCAACAGTGAGTGAGGTTTTGCGTGAAAATGTCGGTGAACTAATTCACAGTCGTCACCGTCGTCTGGTATGATGGACAGAGCATTTGAAGATCAATTCAACTAGCTAGCAGCGCAACCGAGTCTATCTTCCGGGGTTCACAGTGTTCCCTGGTGCGTGGATGTTTCTCCATCGACAGAGGCTAAGGTTTCTTATGAGCTTCGCCTACTGAACCGCCATAAGTCACCTGACCCAGACGAACCTCCTCCTGTCCTCTTCAAATATGGTGGTGCTGCTCTCACTTACGAACTGACATCTCTATTCCATCAAATTCGGACTACTGAAACCATTTCATCCGACTGGAATTTAGCGGAGGTTGTACCTGTTTACAAAAAAGGAGACCGGACCATTTGCTCCAACCATCGTGGCATCAGTCTCATTTGTATCGCATCCAAACTGCTCTCTGCCCTACTCTTGTGGAGTAGGGAACAGCACCCGCGTGAACACCAAGCTGGATTTCGCGCAGGTCGCAATTGCGTCGATCACATCTTTACGATCCGCCAGATACTTGAACATACGTTCAGTCGATCAACTAGTCCTATTCTTGGACATTCGAGCCGCTTTTGACTCTGTTGACAGAGTGGCGCTTTGAGATTGTTTACTGAAGAGGGGAGTACCTGAGAAGTACATCCGCATTCTCCGTGCCATTTACCATCAAACTTCGGGCCACGTGTGAGCATACGGAGACATTTCGCCTCCTTTCAGTGTCACTAGCGGTGTTAGACAGGGTTGCCCAGCCTCCCCATTCTTGTTCAACTTCGAAATGGACGAGATCCTGCATACTGTTCTGGATAACCCGGAGTCCTGCGGTGTTGAACTGCTCCCTAGTGACCGCCTTCGGGACTTATAGTACTCCGATGATATCGCTATGATTTGCGGGTCCTCCCAAGCCGCCCAGAATGTGCTGCTCAGACTGGAGATGTCCGCCTCCCAATTTGGGTTGACCTTTGCCGTTGGGGACCAAAGGACCCCAAGCACATCAGGTTGCGAACGCTGGAGGATATGGCCATGGATCGTACGCAATGGCGCACTTGTTGTGAGACCCTTCTACCCTAACAGCTGTTTTCCCTTTCAAACCAATTTTTCCTCTTATCTATTGTGACACTCAGCCAATTATATTGTAATTGGTAGTGTTGTATATATATATATATATATATATATATATATATATATATATATATATATATATATATATATATAATCATTACCTCTGTGGCCAGAATAACTCGATCTTAACCTTTTTCTCTATGGACGCTAACAAGGAGTTGATAACCTACCATTAAAGCTTAACTGCAAAATGCAGTAATTGCAATCTATAAGCTTAACTCACTTGACTTAGACTAAGAACACCACACATTATTCTCCCAACGAATGCCACTCTGCTATGCTGCTGTCTGCTTCACACCTTGCAGCTCAAACAGAAAGACGCTAACCTGTAAAATGCACTCTTGGTTGACAATAGCCACGGGTGTGTAACTTGATACATCTGGAAGATATGCACAACTGCTTAAATTCCGAATCGGGCCTACTGCCCTGACCAGCTTCTTATTAGACTCTGCATCCAAACTCCAGAGCTGGGCCTGTTCCACGATGCCCTGTGGTTCAAACTGCGGAAACTTAGGGGTTACCCGATTTTTTCAACGTGATGCTCATGTCTGGTAGCAAAGTAAGGCAAGGCACTTGCAGTATGCCAGATTCGCATACCGACTCTTCGCTGCAATGTTATGACCTGCGGTTGCACGCAGGATGAGACACTACAAGGTCAATCGCATCTAGACAGCTTCGAACCGGTGGCTAGTGGATTACGAATGAAGCACGTGGCCCACTCCCTCACCGTCTGGTCTAATGTATTTGGTGATGGTGATGGTGGTAGCAACACAAAAAGCACAAGACATCAGCTGTACGCCTGCACACCGTACTCTAACTTCGCTGCCACACTACCACCATCAGTCACTCGTCGGCTTGGTATACCGCATGATCGCTCGCACCCACGCGGATTCGAACCGGTGACCTTAGAATCACACAGTAAGCGCGTAATCCATTCGGCCACCGGCACTTTCACGGACTTGGCACAGAGTTGGATTGCCCTCTGAACTCGGATCAACTATGCTTTCTTCCGGCCGACTACACCTGAACGCCTGAGTAAAATACCAATACTTTGTACTGGTACATCACTGCATTACAATATCAGTTATCCAACCGATGAGGAATGCAAAACGTGGGAGGGGATTGGTGCATAATGAACAGCCTAAGCGCCCTGAGCGAATATTCAGGGTCGAGGTGTTGACATCTCACCAGTTGCGCATGACCACAAACAACTATCTGCACCAGTAAGACACCTTCTTTGCCATTTTCACCACCATGTGCCATAATCAACTTTAATTGATGGATAACCTAGTAGCCTGGATTGGGAGATGGCAACAACTTCGCTATGCGTACTATTTGCGATCAAGCTTCTCTGGATCGCGTGGATCCAATCTTGGAAGCCGGACGAGGCAGCAACATCCGATTTGTTTACTGACGTCTTTATTTCTCGTCCTCACGTCGACGTCTATTCCCTCGGACCTTATGTTGTCCCAGATAGATTACTCAAAAACGAACCACCTCAGTAGGCAATGAGCGGACATGTGCAATGCGTGTGTTGGTCTAACGAACTAGCCTACTCATCAGCCACTGACACCCGCCTGCGCATCTTATTATTCTGCACACACTTGTGCTAGTTGACACAAACGACGCCTCGTGGACACCGCGTTCTAGATCTTCGGTCCAAAATGGTCACATCTCACTCGTGTAACGCAGAGCTGATCTCACCCTAGTCTTGTGAATACGTTATTTTCTAGTAATAAAAACCAACTTTATGTTCCATAGGTGTCCTAGATTCGTGAAGCTAGGGCTAACGCTCGCATTCCGCTGACAACCGCCCGTCCGTCAATGGTAATACCGTCGCCAAAGTAGGTAACTAGTCAACTACCTGTAGTTCCTGTTCGTCAGTTTAGGGGACTATCAAGTGACCGATGATCTAGAATCAGCGTCTTTCTTTTAAAAGGCACGAAACCAACGCATAAGAATGAGAACAACGCAGAATTTTTCCAAGCTCGCTTGCACCGATTGTTAGACAGCAAGACAATAACATCTGCATATCCCAGCTCGATCAGATTCCCCCATACAGCACCTCAGTGCAATTTGATATATGCTGAAACTCTCAGGGGCTTACTTCAGTAAAGCCTTGAAGTGACCAACCATCGACACAGTAGAAGGGTATGAATAAACTCACTGAAGGACTAAGTAAAGAGTGGTTTGTCTTAATCTCTATTGAAGGCCTTGATCTCTGTTGGATTGGCGGTTGGATATCCTACTGTATGTTTTTTGGCTGCGAGGTCAGCATATCTGTCGTGATTTCTTCACTTGTTTGTCTCTTCTGAACTGTAGTTTTCGCTTGTTTATTCGTGTATTTTTTCGGTGACAATTACCAGACCGGTTTAATCCACTGCATTTCGTTGGGTGAAACACGGTTGAGCACTGTACCGTGAGCAATGTCCGAGAAGGTGGCATGCACCAACGCGATTGTTTTTCACTCAACTTCCTCATTTACCTTCATTGGTTCGTTACCAAGCCACTTTCCTCCTACTCAGACAGTTATATTCCATTCCTCTAACGCCAACAGTAGGCGGTCATTCGACACGCGAAACCGCTTGGTGAGGTGTCGGCTTGTAGACAATAAGTATAGCACGACTAGCATAAGTTACTGGCGCCGGAAATTTGCTCTAAAAAGTAATGTTCACCAATTGGAACCGGACATCCGCTGATGGCTTCGACTCATCCTCGGCATTTTATCGTGCTCCTAGATGGATCAACTGAACCGACTGGAAAATCTGCATTGACTGTGACAGCTGTTCCCTGGATTGATCACGCCGATTTATGTATGCCTCGTTGACGTAAGATATGTCCGACAGAATCCTTACTGCCATATGGGTTAAGATTTCGAGACATCTTAGACGAAGAGTATGAAATAATAGTAAACAGTTAATGAAAAATCGAGAGTCCTACCCACCGCACTTCAGCTACTTGAGTTACGTCATCAGTTTGTATTCTCCGTATAGTTGTATTCGCTAATCGAAGACCTTTTCGTTTTTGCTGAATACAAATGTTTGTGGCTTTTCTTTTCTTTACCGAATGTTGGGGTCGGCAAATCTTTCCATCCTCATCCCCTATACTGCTGTATTTATTGGGGTCTTCCAAAAACTCTCCTGATGCTCTTTCACTTGTTAACCAGAAATGGGGTGCACTCTCCCTTTTCCTTTTCTCCTCTTGCAGCCAAGTCTACTTGACTATTCTGCTGTCGTTTTCTCTCCAGAACTTTCTGCTATTCTCTTTGCATGAAGGGTAGCATTCAGTAATGCTCTCCATTTGGGACCGACTGCCACTTAACTTACCTTCTCGTTTTGCACCGTACTTTCCGAAACCATTATGACATGAGCACCGAGTCACTATCTATCAGCTGTTTGCTCGTAAACGCATCACCTAGCACTCACTTCGGAGAGTGCATTATCACTCTTACGGCCCTGTATTTACTCATAACCGACAATTTTTCTTTCGCTTAAACCACGTGCACCTTATCTTCCTTCCACTTTCATCCAGCGCTTCTTACTACCTGTTACATTTCTGAGACAGTTTTGTTGGCTACGACTTCTTAGAAACTTTCTCTGTTTTAGTCATGGAGGCTATCGCTCTCCATACTTTCAAGCCTACCGAACAAGATGAACTCGGATTCGAAAAAGGCAGCACATTACGTGTAGGTCGTTGTTTTTCAATTTTATCCTCTACTGTTGAAGGTGATTGAAATGGAGGAAGATCCGAACTGGTATAAGGCAAGACAAGGCCAACGAGAAGGAATGGTCCCTGCAAATTACATTTCACTGCATCCGCATCCCTGGTACATTCCAAAGTGTAGTCGCAAGGAAGCAGAGGCTCGTCTCCTCGAAGTCGACCCCGAAACCAACCTAGACGTGCAACCTGACGGAGCGTTTATTCTTCGACAAAGTGAAAACGAATTCGGACAGTTTAGTATTTCAGTGAAGTAGGCGCTCGTCTTCGTCTGTGTTTTATTTTATTGTTTCGCATGCGTGATCACGTAGTTTTCTATATTTTTGCTCTCAGACACTTTAGGTGATAAACTTTGCATAAGTTTTTCTGTTAGTGGACGTGAAGAAATTAAGCCACATGATCAGTAGATTACTGTCATGGGACGTTTAACGTGACCGAATGCTAGCTCATCTACTCTTCCGGTAATCTAGTCTTCAGAATACTGTTTTCTCATTACCTGCTCACATAACTCGTTTTTTATTGATCTTTTCTATGACATTCTTCTCAGCATTAGGTTTTCATTCCTTATGGGGTCACCTGATTCGCCACATTTTAATCGTTGATTACACTTGGGCTTTCTTCTTAATTGGTGTTGGCTACCGCCAGCCCGTAGTCTTAAGGATCACAAGCCTACCTTATAATCCGAGGACGCGGGTTCGAGCCTGCGTAGTGGCAGGGCGACCCTCACAGTATCCTTAGTCCACGTGGGACTTGTGGTTGTTGCGCGGCAGCGAAGCGTCGGTACTGCGTACCGGCGTACTGTGCTGATGCCTGGTGTTGACTACCACCCCGTTACGATGTGTAATCCGGTGCATCCTGGCAGTAATTCACCGCCATCCCATATGTAAGCCATCATTCGAGTCCATCATCTCTCAAGTTCCTTAAGCGTCTCATTTCTCTGTGGGCTTGGTGCTTTCCACATTGCTATCTCATGGCATGACCATTCACATGCAACCAGTTCTCAACCCGAAACCCTTTGAGCGGTTTTCCTTTGCTGGATATTACGAATTAGTGCATTGACTCGCAGCTGATGAGGCGCTGTGAGCAACGACTGTGATAGCGCGGATGTATTTTCATAGCTTATTTTTACTCTTCCTGAACGTTTCACGCACGGATTCCGGAGGCATCTTCTGTCTATTGTGGAAGCTGTCTACATCCGTCACCTCAAGCCAGAATTGTGCGTACAAAAACAGTTTGTACGTTCTTTACTTCTACCGTGGCCTATAACTTCGACTGTGATTTCTCCTGTACATACTTGCCACTTACAATGACTTCGTGATTTATTGATTTGTTCCCGTTGAAATTAAACATTCTGATCAATATTTAGCCCAATCCGGCACATGTAACACTTTCTCGTCATCATCTAATGTTTGAGTCTGATGGGATGTACCGAAAAGAATTCTTTACTCAGATTCTGCCTCCCTTGATTCATTCTAATAAATAGCTTATTTGTTTTGGTTCGGATTCTCTGTCGTGCGTTTGGGTCGCGACGTGCAGTCTCGTGAGCTAATAGCATCTGTAGTCTCATCTAGTGCTATAGAAAATGCTTGAAGTTCGCTTGGTTTCTCTTGTGGTTGCCTCAACTAGTCCCCTCCTATGTTCTTCACACATCTCGTAATGGTACAGCGGGAGAGGTTAGCAGCTTCAGAAGCGGCCTTTTTTCTGCACAAATCTCCTCGGTAATAGCCAGCAAACACTTCTTCACTATCTCTCCATCTGAGAAAGTTTTGCATGACTTGCCAAGGATGTTTGTAATACGATAGTTTGCTTTCATAGCAGCCACGTAGCCTAAAGGTACTGAGCTTGTCTTGTAGTCTGATGGCGCGGGTTCGAACCTGTGTAGGGGCAGCGCGTTCCTCGCAATATCCTTAACCCACGTGCGACCGGTGGTGATTGCGCCGCAGCGAAGCATCGGTACTGTGTACCGGCATACTGCTGATGCCCTTTCTTCTTTATGGCAGCCACGTTTTCTTCTAATCGGTTGCTGAAAAATTGTTTCCATCAATCGTCTTGTTTCTGCAGTAGCTGTTTATTCATATCAACGTCGCTCCGTGTTCCATATGGTGCTGTCTCTTCACACTATGTTCCTCCAGAACAGCGACTGTTTCTTTACATGTCAAACTAAGCTCCTTGTCGTGATGTTAACCAACAATAAGCACTTGTCCATCTTTCTTGAAATGTCATGCATTCAGAGCCAACTTTTCACTTCTTAAGCTATTCACTACAATTGTTCTACACAGTCAAAGAACTATGGAATGAAGCCGTGTCTTTTCACCACAAATACACTGCACCTATGGCGTCAACTTCTGATTGATAAAAATCTGGATATTAATCCTAGTTTCAAATGCTATGGATATAGTGTCTAGCGTGAGGAAGTCATCACTCCGCAGGCTAACCACTGTCAGTGACAGTGGAAGATAGGTGGTGCTATATCTCAGTTAGTTTGCAACTTAGGTAGCGCAGCCAACGTCCCCCATGGCTCAGTGGCTTAAGCTACTGGCTAGTTGGCATCTGCCTCTAGCGGTCATGGGTTCGATCCTCCTTAGAGGACCGAAGGAATGCGCACCACTGACGAGCCCCAATAGGGCGAAACGCGTCTGGTGCTTTTCCGGACTAGGCTCTGCTATGTAGCTTGTGAACTATTGGGATGAACTCCTTATCAGAATCCTGGAACAGTTAAATAAAGGAAACTCGAACGATGTTTGCAATATGTTTTGCTTAAAAATGCTAGGTTGGCTGAAGGTCCGCGGGCCGGCGAATCATAGACTGAGCACCACTGGTCTAGACTGATTCACCCTGTGTTGAACCTTGTTTTCAATCCTAGTTGTGTTCTCAATACTAGCACATCCGTTCCCCGATTTGTCTGTCACGGTGGACTTGTACTGTTACGGAGAATGCCCGCGCCCACAGAAGGATCATGGGTAACTGTATCACATAACTAGAACTCACACATACACATAATGCACAGTATCAATCCGATGGGACACCACAGGGAGACATGCGAATGGGCGCACAGTAATCTCGGAGCTGGATCACACCCTATTAACACATTGGTCTCTGGATAAATGGTTCCATTTAACACATTTCCCGACAAGTTGCACCAACTAAATTTTTTCTTTCACTCGCATCCATAGCCCTTTCGAATTTCCCCCTAATGGAATCATGTTTCCCCATAGACCTCTCAAGTTAGACCTTCAACGCTATCAAATAGCGTCCGATGAGCGTAAACGCTGCTAAAAATGCGTACTGTTCGTTGAGTGACCTATCTCAAATCAGTTCAGTTGCATTCCGGGACAACCTACAACATGGAGATGCCACATGAAAAAGCTGGCGAAAACAGTTGGCCTCGGTCGGTTGTTCTATACTCCCTGGTTGGGGATTTTCAGAAATACAGTGTCGCTGGTTGGAGACTCTAGGAGACATGGCTCAGGACCAACGTCAATTGCGGACGTGTATATCTGCGTGCTGCGGTGATTTCCTTTTCCAATTAAAACAGACAGCTAAAAAATCTCAAAAACCGAGTGAACTACAACTGAAAAATGCTGCATGTTCTCTTTCTTTCTATTCATATCCTGTTTTCTTATTCCGCCATGATTTTGATGGCACTATATATATATATATATATATATATATATATATATATATACAGTTGTCTCTGGTGTAAAACAAGGCCCTTGCCCTGTTTATACTTGCCTCCATGCAATCATATCCTGTGCTTTCGACACTGCTTTTGATTACGATGTCCCGTGTGCCGGCAAGGACACATCTTTATCTCTAGCTGTTGTAGCCCGTGCAACGTAGGCCATTCAGTCTCAAGAGGCAGTCGAAGTGTGTTCGCCAAATCTGCGTTGTGTCTACAGTGTTCGTGCGTGCATCGCCTGAAGTAGCATCGAGCAGCGTTTTTTGGCGGCTGCAACGTTGGTCCAAACACCGTCTTCAAGGAATCAAAGAATTCCTTATGTTGACGACGTTTAACCTAGTATTCCGTCTGCTTTACCTTCTCCGTCCACCACGCATTCTTGATACGACGGAGCACTCGAGTCAGTCGCCGTCTAAGTTTGCGAAACGTTCTCCTTTTCTTTGTCGACAGGTTCTGCCATATGTGCAGTGAATGCTGCAATCTTCTTTGACACCAAAGCGCCAGTGGTCGTACTGTTGTCATCAAATCGATCGGGCTGCTTACAGTTCGCGCGCGCGATGGTTTCCGCGGCCGCGGAAACATTGACATCGGCAACTTTGGTAACTACCGCCTTCTCCAAGCGTTCTTTTCTTAGCAGTGCCTCGGAAAAGAACGTTAAATTTACACCGGCTCACGGCAAATGTGCAATACATAGATTTATGAAAATATATGTACAGTTTGGTCCGCACCAATTTGTGTACAGTGCCACACAGCTCCACGCAGTACACGTGGCATGCGCACTTCACGCAGGTAACGCTGGCGTGTAATGACATAGTCGAGCAGGTGGATCGTGACTATGGAACAATGGTTTATTACGGGTAAAAAAGCATTGCTTAACAAGTCCCGTGGGATGGAAATTATTGCGAAAATCAATTGCATGATAAAGTGAAATGCGTTGTGGTGGACTCACCATAGACTTATGTGGAATAGCGGAGATGTTCGCGTATTAAACGTATAAATCCATAAATTCATTGGTTAGGCGTTTGACAAGACACCGTTTGATTGCGTTTTGTAGCCCCTGGCTAACAAGTCATAAAATGAAATGTAAGTGAGACAATGCATCCTCAACACTTTTAAAAAAATCGCCAGATTGGGAGCAGAGACGACATAATTAGGGAGAGCGTTCCAAGGCTGGCACACGCGAAGGGAAAAGAAATTTCTACGGCATTCAAGACGGCTATACTGAACTGTCAGTTTCAGAGGGTGACCTCTTAGTTTAGTGTTGTGGTTCAATTCCAGCAGCGGACGGCAGATGTGTTTTGGATTCTTCAGAATCTGGTAAACCATTATGAGATCCCCTCGCAAAAGTCGATATCGACTGCTGTAGATTCTTAGAGATTTCAGTCTAAGCTGATAAGGCAGATGAAAGAGGCCCCTGACGTTCTTGGTTGCCCTTCGTTGAGGAGTCTCGAAAGCAACGAGATCCTGTTTCTGCCACGGCTGCCACGCTTGAATAGCATATTCCACGTGCTGTCGCACGTAGGCGTTAAGCATTTGTGGGAAGATTGAGGGTTCAAACCGACCGAAGGCTCTGCGAAG